CATTTAAATTTAAATGAAGCCGCGATTATTTTAATCGCGGCTTCATTTCCCTCTTCCGAGCTGGCTAATCTACATGCCTCCGTCGAAGGAGGCATGGAGTCTGGACACAGCCCTACTCCAGCTCACATCCCAAAGCCCTGCATGCCAGTCCCCTGCCCCAGGTCACAACCACCTCCCAGACTCTATTCTCCCTCCTGCACCCCAGTCCCTTACCCCCAAGCTTCCTTCTGCACCCAACCTCCATCCCAGACCCCACATTGCCTCCATAATACCATGGAAGAGTGCGGTCCTTGACCACTTTCCAAAATCTTGGATTGGCCCCCCCATCAAAAATTATTGCCCACCCCTGCTCTAGAACCTTAGTTGTAGACTCTTCAGCAAGCATTGTGAACATAAGAACAGCTATACCAAGGCAGAACAATGGTCCATCTTGTCTAGTATCCTGTCTTCCGACAGTGGGCAGTGCCTGGTGCTTCAGAGGGAGTGAACAGAGCAATGTAAATTACTGACTGACTCCCCAAGTCCACCCCCATTTGTATGAGTGGACATAGCGACAGCTGAGGAGAAAAGGCTGCAGGAAAAGAACACATTACATTTTGTTAAATTTTTTTCTTTCTTGTTTCAGCCGCCTTGTATACCCAGGAGTTATAACCTTCTTGATAGCAACGTTGACCTTCCCGCCAGGGTTCGGGCAGTTCATGGCTGGAGAGGTAAAAGTAGTTATAAAGGAGTAAATGTGTAATTCTGAAAGAAACGTGTGTAACCATCTGCCCAGGTCCCAAGCCATGCTAAATGGGAAGGACTCAGAGGTGTCCCCTTCCCAAGCAGGAAGCAGAGAGCGTTTTAGGAAGAGTTTGACTGCTCCTGGGATGGAAAGAAAGATTGCTCTGAGAACAATAATCTCCACACTGGCCTTCAGACAGACCTGGGGAAGGTTCCCCATCCCCCCCTTAGAGGGTTTAGGCATGGAAATGTAACCCCTTGAACACTGGAGAGATTAAATAGATTCTCCTCCATCTGAAGCCCTCTCTCTTTTCTGAGCAGATTAAGATGGGGGAAGTTTATCTCCTCAGATTCTAGAAAGAAATATCCAAAGAGACTCAAATGTGGGGACCCTCTCTCCTTTTTGGTGGGGATCCTGAGTGTAACATTGACCCATTTAATCTTTTAAGAATCACTGACTGATTCCTTGCCTTCTTTTCTTGCAGTTGATGCCAAGGGAAGCAATCAGCTCCCTGTTTGATAATTACACCTGGGCAAAGCACATGGGAGACCCACAAGTTCTAGGGAAATCTGCTGTCTGGATCCATCCCAAAGTCAGTGTCTTTGTCATCATTCTGTTCTTCTTCATCATGAAGGTAGGAATCCCACCCACCCTGATGACAAATCTCTAGCCAAGAGCTAGGCATTTATGACCACTAAGGTGGGGTTAAGAGCTGGTCGGAGGGAAGATGGTTCATGTTGATGGTTGGGGCTTGGGTTTCCCCTGTATACTTTTCTGGAATTGATGAACTGGCCCTTCGTACTGCCCTGAATCTCCTTACTGGTGTACCACACTGTGGCTCTATCCCTCAGTGGTCTCTGTATACTGGCTGGTGGGGAGGCCCAGGAACCTCAGACTTTTCCTAAAGTCAGATCTTTTTGCTTCCTGAGTGATTTACATTTGCTGTGGTTCCTGAAAGTCCCCTGTCTGGACCACAGCAAATTACCTACCCAGGAGCCTTCTCTGAGTGTTAAGTGCAAGGTTGGAGACTAGTATTTCCCCAAGCACGATTTGTTGATATATGAGGCTCCAGTCCTTCTCTGCAGTACTGAGACATGGCTGGAAGATTCAACTGGGCAATCG